TGACCACAGCAGCCACCACGATACACTTCTGTCAAAAAGTGTTTGAATGTTTGTATTTAACCCTCGCCCTGGCAGGGCATTTTTCATAACACGGCCTGGCAGGGGGGGGGGGGGGGGTCGATGCGACCCTCTCGCGATTGGCTCCTATGGCACCACAAACACCAAATTTGGTAGGTGGTGGGCCCCCTGGAGTTCTCGCCCCTGTGCAAATTTGGTTGTTCTAGGTCAATATTTAGGGGGGTTATGGGCAGAAGCGGCGGAACACCTTCAATTAAGGGGGGGGGGGGCACTACCGAATTTTGGTCCCATTCTTTCCATGCAACGCCCTTAGGGCTAATGTTAAAATGCCAAAATCAAAGGGGGCACGCTGCCCCGGTACCCTCCCCGTTCCGCCGCCTATGGACTATGGTTTTGCGGGTATAAATGTAAAAATTTCGCTAAAAACAGGTCAAACGTTTTTCGCTTATAACTTTTGATCTAATTAAGATAGAGCAAGATAAAAAGCACCAGTGAGCTCAGCACGTCAAGGCGCGTCGAATGATATACTTTTTTTGGTCAGGTCATAAGTCAGGTCACCAGAGGTTAGGGGCTCCGCCACAGGGGGGTACGCGGGGGTCCGGACCCCCTCAATAATTTACCTGGGGGGTACAGTACCCCCCAATATTCCGAATACCTATAAGCTTGTTTTCGCGTAAGAATGACTAAATCATTCACAGAATGTGTTGAATAATTTAGAATGTGCAGTGTTGACAGTCGCAAAGCTAAGGAATTTAACCCGCGCCCCGCTGGGCTATTCAGCCATACGCGCCCTGCTGGGGGGGGGGGGGCAGATTCTGCCCCCCTGTCTAACTTCCGAACCGATGGTCGTAGAAAGACGGGGAAACAGCAATCGAAAGCTCTCAACAAGGCGGATCTTAAGAGCCCAACATTTTTTGCTTAAGTAGGTCAGAGGTCAGGTCAAGGTCAGGTCAAGGGTACAAAATGCAAGTTTCTACAGTATCGGCCTTGCACCGTAGTTGCCGAAGAATGGACTGAGACTGATTGCCCAAAACGTGTTCTTAGACTACCAAGACAATATTCGTTGCATACAATGTCATTCAAAGGTCAAGGTCAAGGTCAGGTCAGGTCAGGTCAGGTCACCAAAAACAAAATATAGAAAAGGGCATGTGCGACACATGTTTTATGGTTCATTTTACTCATAGAATTCAATAGGCACACTCAATAAGTGATATGGACCACCTCTGGATGAATTTCAGGTCGAGGTCAGGTCAAGGTCAGGTCAAGTGAGGTCAAATTTTGAAGTTGGTTGTTAAGGCCCAAAAAGGTGTCTATCTGATGCAGTTTTTCACGGTGAATCGAATGGTGCTATTTTTGTTTCCGTACGAGGTCTAGAACTTCCAAAAAAATCATTTTTCAAAAATTTTGTGTGTCGTGACGTCATAAAATTTTGAATAACTCCCACATTTTTGAACCGATTCTTCTGAAAATTGGTATGTAGATGCACATTGACCACTTCTCTGACATATATTCCGGTTTTTCCGATACACTCAAAATTTTGGATTTTATAACTATTTTTTTGAAAAAAAATCAGTTTTTTGAAAAAATTTGGGCCAAAATCCAAAATTTTCAAAAAACCGAGATAGCCATTTGATAGACAACGTGGAATCACGTATAACCTTTTTTGTTACGTCTTGATTCCTTTAAAAATGAAGATGTTAGCGGCGTTTGAAATTTTGCCGTTTTTGAGGCGAAAATGGCGAACATGACGTCACTAAAACGTCAATTTCTCAAAAAATTTCCGACGGATTTCGTTCAAATTTTTAGGGAACGTGTCAAATTGATGTATGATAAGGTACTGAAAGTTTGACGTCGCTGGCGTAACGCGTTTAGAAGTTATTGGCGAAAAACGGGAGGGGGGGGCAGATTCTGCCCCCCCCCCAGCGGGGCGCGGGTTAAGATCTAGAAATGTAGGGATCCCTTAAAATGTGACACACGAAGCACTCAACTCTCGCCGACCTATATGTAGGTACGGAAGTGTCATTATTCTACCATTTTGTTATTAAAATGAATGCGTTTAAGATTGCTATAGGATTAGCTCAGCATGCTAGAATTCGGCTATAATATCGTGAGAGAGGTCCAGCTTGCAGGACACCTCCATAGACACAATACCCGCCCCAAAAGAGCTTCAAATCGATCTGAGAATCCTTTTTCCATGTGAGGTCAACCGATAGTGTTGGGGGAAGGGGGTTAAGCCGGTCTTTCAAGCACCGTACTAGTCTAAGCAGCCTCACACCGTTCTGAGGTAATCTGCAATAATCTGCACAGGACTCTGAATGCAGGTCGGTAGAGATACGTCTACAAATCACAACTCTTACAGGATCCCCTGCATAACCTGACCTTTGATTCAATTGCAGCATTTTGATATCCATTTTCAGGTCAAGCTAGGTCACTCTCTGATCACAGAGACTGAATGTCAGTCTCTAAGGACTCCATACTGCTATATGTATGAGGGCAGGGCTTTCAAATCCCTTCAACGACTCCTAAAGCCCTGCGCTTTCCTTAAATACGGCCTTGGAGGATCCGGCACTGGCCTAAGAGCCTACGTACATAGATATCTGAGCGCCTATGAAGGTCCCTGAATTCCCAAGCGCATGCCAGTCACTGAGAGCCTAATGCGCTGTCTGATGGCTAACACCGCCCTTGGAGTGCGCAACAGTGGCCTCCATTCTTCAAAAACGTTGATTTGAGAGGCCGCCATGTCGGTGTCAATGGGCTCCGCTTCTCGGTTTTCGATTTCTTGTGCAAATTGAACCTTGGGTTTTCAGTTTAAAGCAAAATTATCCCGAAAAAATTATTAAGTTTTCTTTGAGCTCTAGAAAAGCGGCAAGCTTTCATCATCTTCGGGAGCTGCAGGGGGGGGGGGGGAGGATGAATTCGCCCAAAATGCCCACCCTGGATCCGCCAGCGAGGTTTTGTGTTTTGAGTCGGACCCCCCAATCCCAAAACCGTGGCGGAGCCCCTGCCAGAGGTCACCAAAAGTAAAATGTTGACTATTTGTTATAGCGAGTGAGTGGGCCACGTGGAGGCCGGCTGGCCGGCAGCCGACGGAGCGCCGCTGCCCCGGCCCGACGGGTCGGGTGTAGGGTTTCAGACCTAATTTATCTGTTCTGCTTCCGGCGGGACTGTTCTGTGAGCTGCTCTGTTCCTCGGCCGTCCCGGGCAGGGCGTGACCGTCGCCTCCCGGCGGAGAGAGGACAGTCTGGCGAGAGGTTCGGTGCGGTGTGCACGTGGAGCAAATACACTGGAAACTACAAGCTATTTCGGCAAGATGGCAGAGACTCCAACCGACGCCAGGCTCGACGTCCTTCTCATAGACGCCTATGACGGAACCACGGACGTGGTGGAGTGGTACTCGCAGGCGGAACTGCTATGCGAGTACCGCGGGGCTTCCCTGGCCCAGGTGCTGCCGATGCGCCTAAAAGGGGGTGCGTTTGCTGTGTGGTCACAGCTGCCGGCGGAGGAGCGCTGCTGTGTGGAATCCGTGAGAGATGCGCTGTTCGCGGCGTTTGCAATGGACGACTACGCCGCTCATGCGGCATTCACTGCTCGCACGCTGGAGCCGGGGGAGAGCGTAGATGGCGAGTCTGGCGAGTCTCCGTCGGTACGCCGCTCTGTTCGGCGGCGTGTCAGATCGACAGCTGGCGGCGGCATTCGTGAACGGTCTACCTCCGTCCGTCGGTGATACCGTCCGAGCTGGTGCCAGGGCGGAAAAACTGACGCTTGCCAGTACACTGGCCCGGGCGCGTGCTGTGCTGGGCAACAATCAGGTCCGGACGGCGGCGGCGGCCCAGCACAGTGCCGGTGGGCGGTCTCAGGAGCCCGTACCGGTAGCAGCAGCGGTTCGCGGCGCCGGTGGACGGCAACCTGAGTCCGGACAAGCGGCGGCCGGCGGCGAGGATGGGTGTGAGCAGCAACAGCGGCGAAGCCGATTCTACCGTCCTCCTCGGCGCTGCTGGACGTGCGGCGAAATCGGCCATTTGGCAGCTACCTGTCAGCGGCGGCCGGGAAACGACGGGGGAGCTACGCCAGCGCCAGCGCAGTGTCCCCAGCATTAGGGCGTGCACTCCCCGTGGTGGACATCCGTGTTGACGGACACACGTGTCGGGCGTTGGTGGACACCGGCTGCACGGACATGCTAGTGTTCAAAGGATACTGTGGTAGCTGGAAGCCGCAGCCGGTGAATATGACAGCAGTGAACGGCGGGAGCTTAAAGTGCAGCGGGGTCGCTAGTGTCGTTGTTGAGTACCAGAACCAGCGAGTGAGGCTCGCGGCTCTGGTTGTGCCTGACCGTCCGCTCGGGGTAGATGTTGTCCTCGGCATGTCGGGAATCGCGGCGCTGGGTGGCGTGTGTGTGAAAACACCGACAGATGTGACATTTCCGGCGGCGGCGGCGGCGGCGGCGGCCGTGGGCCCGCCAGCCCTGAGAGTGGACGCTCCGGACTTCACGGCCGAGTTCGACCCAGACAGTGCCGAGTGGACAGTCGGCTGGAAGTGGACGGGTGGCGTCGGGCCCGACTGTCTCTGCAACACGGTACCGGAGTATAAAGTACCGGTGACCGCGCGGCCGGCATTCGACGCAGAGATCACGGAGTGGATAGAAAACGGGTGGTTGCAGCCCTATGATCAGGGGACAGATCATAGGGCCTCGGGGACTGCTCCCACTGATGGCAGTCGAGCAGCCGTCTAAAGTCCGGCCGGTGCTCGACTACCGGGAGCTGAATGGCCACGTGACCGCTCACACAGCCGACGCTGACGTGTGCGCCGACCAGCTACGGAAGTGGCGGCGGCACGGGAGCCGCGTGGCGGTGGTCGACCTGCGAAAAGCCTATCTGCAGCTCCGACTGGAACGGCGGCTCTGGCCGTATCAAACAGTGGTGGTGAGAGGCCAACGTTTCTGCTTGACGAGGCTAGGTTTCGGCCTTAATGTAGCGCCTCTCGTGATGAAAGCGGTCGTGAAAAAGGTGCTCCAGCTTGATGAGCGTGTGCAGCGTGGCGTTCTCGCGTATGTAGACGACCTGCTGGTCGATGAGGACATTGTGAGTGCCGAGGAGGTGGTGCAGCACTTCAAGAGGTTCGGTTTGGAGTGCAAGCCACCGCAGAGAGCTGCAGACGGGACGAGGATGCTCGGACTGCTGGTCAGCCCGTGCGGCGGCGAGCTGCGGTGGCGGCGGGACGCCGAGCTCCCGCCGCCGCCTGTCAAGGTCACGCGCCGGACTGTATTTGCCTGGTGCGGTCGGCTCGTGGCGCATCTGCCGGTGGCAGGCTGGCTCCGGCCGGCCGCTGCGTGGATTAAACGGCGAGTGAACTCGGTGACCAGGGGGTGGGATGACACCACAGACGATGCGGTGCTGCAAGCACAGGTTGACCATGTGGTGCAGCGGCTGCAAGAGGCTGACCCAGCTCAGGGCCCGTGGCGACTGACCGGCGACCGTCTCGTGGTCTGGACGGACGCCAGCTCGATAGCTAACGGTGTCGTGCTGGAAGACCCGGGCCGCGGCACGGTGGAGGACGCCTGCTGGCTGCGGGCTGACAGCAAGGCAGACATGCACATCAACATGGCCGAGCTTGACGCGGCGCTCAGTGGAATAAACATGGCGGTGGCCTGGGGAGTGAAGGTCATTGACCTGCGCACCGACTCTGCTACGGTCCACCGCTGGATTTCCGATGCCCTGAGCGGCCGTGCGCGGCTGCGGACCAAAGCTCACGGAGAGCTGCTGATCCGTCGACGCATCGAAATCGTCAGACAGCTGGTGGACGAGTTGCAGCTCTCCGTCACGATCGGCCTGGTGCGGTCCGCTGGAAACCCGGCTGACACGCTGACGCGTGTGCCTAAGCAATGGCTGCAGAGTGCAAAGGACACCGGCCCTGCTCGCCGGGTGGTGGCCGCTGGTGACCGTCAGTCGGGTGATAGCGCGGCCAGCACCGGCTCTGAAACAGACCGTGCGCGCGCCCGTCGGATTCATGAGACGACCGGCCATCAGAGGATCAGACGGACTCTGTGGTACGTTCGGAGAGAGCTGGGCCCGACGGTGAGACGCTCGATGGTGCGGGAAATAGTCCAGCAGTGCGATACCTGCCAGTCGATTGACCCGGCGCCCGTCCGCTGGCAGACCGGCTCGCTCAGTGTGCAAGAAACGTGGGAGCGGCTGGCCATGGACGTGGTTAAACACCAAGGCCGAGCCTACCTGTCCCTGATTGACTGTGGCCCTGCCAGATACTGCATCTGGAGGGCCCTGCATCGGTCCACCGCTTCCGAGATTGCGCAGCAGCTGGAGGAGATCTTCATCGAGAGAGGAGCACCAAACGAGATTCTAACAGACAATGCTAGGGAATTTCGTGGCTACGAGCTGGCAGCGCTAGTAGCACGGTGGGGAGTGGATCTGCGATTCCGTGCCGTGCATGAACCGACAGGCAACGGCATTGTGGAACGGAACCACCGGACGATCAAAGTGATGGCTGCGCGCCAGAACGTGTCGGTTGCCGAGGCCGTGCATCGCTGCCTATAACATGACGCCGCGGGACGGCCGGAGCGCGGCCATGGCCCCGGCGGCCGGCGTGCTTGTCAGGCCCGGCCGTGACCTCCCCGTGCCCAGTGGTCCGTCTGCCGACCGACGACCAGTGGAGCACGGCCGTGTGCGTGGATCATTCCGAGTGGGTGACCCGGTGTGGGTGCGGTGTCGCGGTGGCCCGACCCGTTGCACTGACGTTTCACGGAGCGGTGTGGTGACACGGGTCGTGTCACCGCAGCAAGTGGAGGTGGACGGGGCGCCGTGGCACGTCAGAAGCGTCCGGCACCGGCACGGGGCGGCACCACCGGCACCGTGCAGCGACTCCGAGGACAGTGATGGCGACGAGCCGCTCTGGGCAGACTGTCCTGAGCCGCCACCAGAGACAGACGCCACTGGTGCCGACGGAGCGGCTCCGCCGGACGAGAGCCGGCAGCCGACCCCTGTGGCCGAGAATGGTGACAATGGGCGAAACGAGACAGAAACCGTGCGGCGAAGTGAGAGAATCCGCCGGGCACCGAAAGAGTTGTACGGCAGCGCCGTCCCCGGTGACGTTCTGGACGAGATATTGTGATTTTTTGTCTGTTGTACTGTTGTCTGTTGTACTGTACTGTTGTCTGTGTTGTACTGTTCTGGTAATCGCGTTGCTAATTGGTGTTGAGTTTGTGCGCATTGGTATTCGAGACCATCCCTACTCGGTCGTGACTGTTCGTTTTTTGTTTTTTTTTGTTTGAGTGTATGTTTCTCGAGAAACAGGGGGAGGTGTTATAGCGAGTGAGTGGGCCACGTGGAGGCCGGCTGGCCGGCAGCCGACGGAGCGCCGCTGCCCCGGCCCGACGGGTCGGGTGTAGGGTTTCAGACCTAATTTATCTGTTCTGCTTCCGGCGGGACTGTTCTGTGAGCTGCTCTGTTCCTCGGCCGTCCCGGGCAGGGCGTGACCGTCGCCTCCCGGCGGAGAGAGGACAGTCTGGCGAGAGGTTCGGTGCGGTGTGCACGTGGAGCAAATACACTGGAAACTACACTATTTCAACATTTTGGAAACTGCCGACGGCTATCTCGGGAACCGATAGAGCTACAGCGCTGCGGAAAGCGCATTCGATAGCCCTTTTACAGACCTTTCTGAGTGATGTTCTCAGATTTGACCTCAGGTCAACGGTTTAGCCTCCAGAGGGCAAAAACTAAAAAAATAGCCGTTTTTACGAAAAGCGTTTTTTTTTCGGCAATAACTTTTGACTCAAAAGAGCTATGACATTCATTTTGTCAGCATCGTGTTCCTCTTGTCGAGACGCGTCGAATAAACTATAATTTGACCTTGAAAGGTCAACTTAAAAATTTGACCTCAGGTCAAGGTCATGACCTGACCGGAAAAGGTCATGTTGCATTTTGTGGTGCACAATGCTGCTGTGCGCGGGCCGCTGCTCTGGTCCCAGTGCACCATGCCGCAGGCAGAGCCGGTCAGCGGACGCCTGATTGGTCGCCTCAGGCGCTGTGTCTGTGAGCCCCGTGACCGGCCGCAAATACACAGTCTGGAACGGAGCCTCTGCGTTACAACATTGGCGACGAGGCGATTCGAACCGCGTGGGGAGATGGCGTGTGTTGGGAAGGCGCCTGAGTTTGACCCGGGAGTTGAATCGTTTGGATCCTACGCCAGAAGACTAGAGCAATATTTCATTGCTAACGGCATTACTGGTGAGGATCAGCGAGGCAAGAGGCGTGCCGTTTTCCTCAGTGTCGTCGGAGCAAGAACGTTCGGTCTGTTGGAAGACCTGGTGGCCCCGACAGCCGTGAGTGACTGCACCTACACTCACCTCGTGGATGTGCTGGAAGCTCATTTTGAGCCCCAGGCTTCGGTGATCGTGGCACGATTCCGTTTTCACTCGTGCTGCAGAGTCAGCGCGTTTCTGGCGCGGTTGCGGAAGCTGGCTAAGCCTTGCCAGTTTTCTGCCGGTATCTTGGAGGAGATGCTACGAGACCGCCTGGTTTGCGGCATCAGGAACGAGCGGCTGCAGTCGCGCTTACTGAGTGAGCCGCATCTGACGCACTGGCGGATCCAGGGGGGGGGGGCACGGGGGCCATGCCCCCCCCCCCCAAAGGCCTAAAGTGGCCTGTTTGCCCCCCCCCCAAAAAAAACGTAAGAAAAATTGCTAAGAAAATATACCTTGATAGAGGTTTTTAGGCACTTGGTGAAGTAAAGCTTTCCACAGCATAATATGGAAGCAATATGGTAGCAGTGAGGGTCAGTCAAAAGTTGCGCGAGCGGAGTCGACCTTAAAAAAAAAAGACTGTTGTTGGCACGTGTTTATGGCGCGGCAGCTGGTAGTTGGCGGTGTTTCACGTGGTGTGGCATCACTGGCGGATCCGGGGGGGGGGGCACGGGAGCCTGGGGTGCCCCTGACAGGCCCGTGGTGCCCTTGCTAGGCCTGTGGTGCCCCTGGACCCTGGCAGGCCTGTGGTGCCTCTGGCGGGCCTAGGGTGCCCCTGCTAGGCTGCTGATGCCCCTGGGACCTGACAGGACTGTGGTGCCCCTGACAAGCCTAAAGTGCCCCCAACAGGCCCGTGATGCCCCCGACAGGCCCAAGGTGCTCCTGCGTGATGCCGTGATGCCTGCGAGGCCGGTGGTGCCCCTGCGAGGCCGGTGGGGCTTCTGACAGGCCCATGGTGCCCCTGCGAGGCCGGTGGTGCCCCTACTAGACCGGTGGTGCCCCTGGCAGGCCTGTGGTGCCCCTGCTAGGCCGCTGGTGCCCCTGGGCCCTGACAGGACTGTGGTGCCCCTGACAGGCTTAAGTGCCCCTACAAGGCCGGTGGTGCCCCTGTAAGGCCTGTGGTACCCCTGCTAGGCCTCTGGTGCCCCTGACTGGCCCATGGTGCCCCTGCGAGGCCGGCGGCGCCCCTGGCAGGTCTCTGGTGTCTCTGACAGACCTGGGGTGCCCCTGACAAGCCTGTGGGGCCCCTCACAGGCCCGTGGTGCCCTTGCTAGGCCTGTGGTGCCCCTGGCGGGCTGGTGGTGCCCCTGCTAGGCCGGTGGTGCCCCTGACAGGCAGATCCCCTTGGATCTGCCACTGATACATAATATATATTGATTTGTAAAGGCGTTATGGCTTATGCAATATGCAATTGCAGGCACTTGGTATCCCTCACTTATCCCTCATTGGGGGCTCTGGCGAGCTCCTGAGGGCCCACGTCTATCTCCGGGAGCCCTAGACAGGCTCCTTTGGGTTATTTCAGTCCACTATAGCATAAGAGGTCTCCATGCGAGTCCTATACATCAGAGGGCGTACCCTGACGTCTGAGGTACCCAACTGCAGCTCCAATGGCCTCTTACACTGGCGGATCCAGGGAGGGGGCTTTAAGGGCCATGCCCCCTTCCCAGAGGCCTAAAGTGGCCCGTTTGCCCCCTCCCCCAAACGATAATGAAACATAGTTCAATCAGTGCGTGGCCCAGGAGCCGAGTTAGACAGGGGGTGTTTTACCACCTCCCGGCCCGCAAAAGGACCCAAGCACTGACTCGAAGCGGGTTAACCCGCGCCCCGCTGGGCTATTCAGCCATACGCGCCCTGCTGGGGGGGGGGGGGGGCAGATTCTGCCCCCCCTGTCTAACTTCCGAACCGATGGTCGTAGAAAGACGGGGAAAACGGCAATCGAAAGCTCTCAACAAGGCGGATCTTAAGAGCCCAATTTTTTTTGCTTAAGTAGGTCAGAGGTCAGGTCAAGGTCAGGTCAAGGGTACAAAATGCAAGTTTCTACAGTATCGGCCTTGCACCGCAGTTGCCGAAGAATGGACTGAGACTGATTGCCCCAAACGTGTTCTTAGACTACCAAGACAATATTTGTTGCATACAATGTCATTCAAAGGTCAAGGTCAAGGTCAGGTCAGGTCAGGTCAGGTCACCAAAAACAAAATATAGAAAAGGGCATGTGCGACACATGTTTTATGGGTCATTTTACTCATAGAATTCAATAGGCACACTCAATAAGTGATATGGACCACCTCTGGATGAATTTCAGGTCGAGGTCAGGTCAAGGTCAGGTCAAGTGAGGTCAAATTTTGAAGTTGGTTGTTAAGGCCTACAAAGGTGTCTATCTGATGCAGTTTTTCACGGCGAATCGAATGGTGCTATTTTTGTTTCCGTACAAGGTCTAGAACTTTCAAAAAAATCATTTTTCAAAATTTTTGTTTGTCGTGACGTCATAAAATTTTGAATAACTCCCACATTTTTGAACCGATTCTTCTAAAAATTAGTATGTAGGTGCATATAGATCAGTTCTCTGACATATATTCCGTTTTTTTCGATACACTCAAAATTTTGGATTTTATAATTATTTTCCCAAAAAAGTCAGTTTTTTGAACAAATTTGGGCCAAAATCCAAAATTTTCAAAAAACCGAGATAGCCATTTGATAGACAAAGTTGAATCACGTATAACCTTTTTTGTTACGTCTTGATTGCTTTAAAAATGAAGATGTTAGCGGCGTTTGAAATTTTGCCGTTTTTGAGGCGAAAATGGCGAACATGACGTCACTAAAACGTCAATTTCTCAAAAATTTTCCGACGGATTTCGCTCAAATTTTCAGGGAACGTGTCAAATTGATGTATGATAAGGTACTGAAAGTTTGACGTCGCTGGCGTAACGCGTTTAGAAGTTATTGGCGAAAAACGGGAGGGGGGGCAGATTCTGCCCCCCCCCCCCCAGCGGGGCGCGGGTTAAAACTGGTCGACAAAAGCAATGGTAAGTGTTTACAAAGTAACATAAAGGCATGGGTCGGGTGGGCTACCATTTATATATTTTTCTTTTTAGTTAAAAAAAAAATATTCATAGTGTCAGGGCTGTGACGAAAAATAAGTGGCCTAAATCCGATGATAAAACAAGATTTAGGGGTACCCTAGGTTTGGCTCCTGCATGAGTTGCCCCCCCCCCCAAAAAAAAACGCAAGCCTGGATCAGCCAGTGATCTGACGCTACCACTGGCAGTGGAGCTGGCGCAGGCTCACGAGTCTACTGCC